CACATTTAGGGGTGCAGCCCCAGCTGGGCCCAGCTGTCCCCTGCCCAGCTTTCCTGTGCTAGGGTTGACATTGCACAAGAGCTTGTGGCACACTGTACTCCATGCTTTGCCTGTTTCGCACCCCTCCTGGCACCCAGTGCTGCAGGAGCCCATGGTGCCGTACCCCAGGTTCCCTGCCTGGCATGGAGAGGGGCAGTCTGGCTGCAAGGGAGGAGGTTCTGTGGGGCCAGCAGCCCCCCGGCTCTCCCCACCAGAGGCAGTGGCGGATGGTGTGCTCCCTTTCTGCTCAAAGCTGTCACCCAGCACCATAGGGCAAAGCCGGGCAGCATTCCTGTAGCATCAGTGCCTGACCCAGCCGGTTACCCTGGCTGCAGGGCAGGCAGCACTGGCGGCTGTGAGCTGTGGCCAGCACAGCTCGGTGCTGCTCGCTGAGCAGAGAAGAGCCCCTTCACAGCAGAGATGCAGGTAACCCACTGCCGCAGTGCCCAGCCCGACCACAGTGCAGAGAAGCAGCACTGTGTACGGACGGGCATGCCTGCTGCTGGGCAAAACCCTCCAGATCAACCAACATGCCCATGTCATCGTAGTAAAACATTTATTTGTTCAGGTGATTTAAGCTACCATGTTTACAGTTTGTGAACTCACCACTGGCGACATTTAACATGACTCGGGACTGCAGCTGTTGCCACCAGATTGTTCATCATAATTTTTAAGTTTTATAAAAACCTTGGACACCAGAAAAAAAGGTATTTAGACTTAATGTGGCAGATGGGAGATGGGCAACCTGTGAAAGGGGGAAGACAGTTTATTGGACACAGCCAACCTCGACGGCCTCTTGGCTTTGGCTGCAGCTTCAAGTAAAGGTTTCGGTAGGGTGAGCGCAGTGCAACACATTAATCTTCGGTGAGTTGGAATCGTATTGTTTTCTGCCGAGTAAGAACATCAGTTGCAACGTTTTCAGGGAGTGGAGGAGGGCAGGCATCCTGCGGATCAGCCCCGGCTTCTGTGCAAAGAGACAAAACAGAGACAGTGAGGGGACAAGAAGCAGGATCCAGTCCTTCGCTGCAGCCAAAGCCGACCTGCCATGGGGAGGCACTCGGTGGGGCCAGCCTGAGCACGGCACTGCATCAAAAGCAACAAGCAGGAAGCAGGCAGCAGAGCCTGCCCTCAGCCCTGCATCCACTCCTTGGGTGCCATCAGCACCGTGGGACTGGGGCACGGCAGGCAGAGCATGGCAGCTAACAAGAGAAAGGGTTAATGGCACCCAGCATTCCCAGCCCGGCTCAGCCAGGCACCATCAACTTCCACATTGGCTGGACATGCTGGCACTGCTGCTCAAAGGAAAACCAACTAACAAAAAAATTTCCCCAAAACCCAAGATGGAATCAGTGAAGCTCATTGTTCCAGAATTAAGAGAAATTTCCAGTTTCTAGATTTGCTTCTGCCTTCATTGAGGTCAAGCTTTTCTCCACGGCAGGGATTTCAACTCTTTGTGTGGTTTCAGAGGTTTGCGCAGGAGTGAAAACACCAACACAGAGCAGTGGCTGGGCACGAATCCAGCACTTGACTTCATAAGGTTTACATCTGAGAGAAAAAGTCACTGTGTTGAGAATGTGCAGATGTTTCATGGTCCTGCCCTGAGTTCCCACATCATTCGCATCAACCCATGGCAGTGTGGACAGCAGATTGCTGCAGGAGAAGCATGGTCCCACCATACCTGGCCTTGCTGCCTGCCACCCCAGCACCACTTCACTTACCTTAGTGAATGCAAAACTGCAGTTGCAGTACATAAATGCAAACTAAACACCACGTTCTAAATTCATCCTTGGCTTGCTGTGGGTTGCAGCTCCCAGCTGCCTAAAGACCAGCCATGTGAAGCAAAGGCCAGCTCTGGATCAGCCCTGTGTGATCACATCATGGTGCTGCCCTCTGCTACTCCCCGAGACCTGGGAGCACAGCCCTTAATGGTTTTCCTCATCTGCCCCTCCTAGTGGAAATGTCCCCTGCAAAGGAGACTGCACAGCTGGCACACAAAACACGACGGGCACCTCCAGAGAAGCAGTCTGGCACTCACACGTAAAACTGGCAGCCCAGGAGGAAAAGCAGCTCAGCCCCAAGCTAGACACACCAACTTGGTCTCTACTTCCAGATTTATGACAGGAATGTTTTCTGAAGTGCAGCGCTTGGAACGACCTCAGGTGATGCAGCTTGTTCCAGAACAACAAAACCAGGAGCTTACTCTGTTCATTTTCATACAGTTTCCAACGTGGGACCTCTCAGCAGGCAGTGACGTGCCACGTTGCCTTTTTTCCCTTTTTAGTTTCCTTCTGCCCCAGCTAAGCTTCCTTGTTTCTACAGCAGCAGCCTTCACACCCAGCTTTTGTGAATAAATCAATTATATTAAAAGTCTATAGTTAGCAAGACTGGTACAATTTGCCTTTTCTTGGTATTGTATCACTGATGACAGGCCTTAACCCTTCAGCCCCACTAACCTGTCACTTTTATTCATGGACATCTGTACTGGTGTGAAAGCATGACTATGGCTCCATTCAAATAACAAAAGACAGTGTAGGGCACATGTATTCTCATTTAGAGAGCTGATTTAATCTGATACTCAGTGCCTAATGTGAGGTACCTGTCCGCAGCCTGCACGGAAGGGAAGGCAGCACTGCTGCCCATGTGGGGTGGGCCAGGGCCAGCTGGACCCTTGACGGCTGCCTGATGCCTAAAGGAACAATTCAGCTCTGAGGTGGACGGTGGCAGCAGGGCTGTAGCACTACAGAAAGACCTGCAGAAGGAATGGGCACCTTGCTCCTGGAAGCGCCAGTTGGCCAGGGGTGCTGCGGTGCATTAACTTACCCAGCATGGGCTGGATCCCGCGGCACAGGCTCTGGCATCAAGTCCAGACACCCCAACACACAGCAAGGCACACAGAAACACATTTGCAAAGGGAAAATACAGGATACATTCTATTGACCTTGCCATGGTTTGCTTTTAAACCAGAACTTTGACCAACATTAAAATTACCATGTTACCAGGGGAAAGGCACTGTCTGATTTTGTGGCTGTTCTTACTGCTGCTTTAGGAGAGCACTAGCAAACCCTGGTTGGAAGCAGCACCCTAGAACAGGACAGTAAATATTCTTAAGCTATTGCAGTGCTGACAGATGAAGCCACCCTGGAAGCGTTACCTCCAAGGCTCCAGTTCCTCCCCATTAACAGGAAGAGAAGCAATAGTAAGTAATAGCAGCTGTGACCATTACTTCTTCTGGTTCCCTCAATTACTGGGGGAAGCAGCACACCCCCTCTCCGAGCAAGGTGCCTGCTGTGGCTCTGGGTACAGTTTTGCAGTGGCACATGGAGGGCTGCACTGCACCTTCTTGAGGGCACATGCACAGCAAATGCTCGCTGTGGCACAACTGTTGGCTGTCAGGGCTCATTCCACTGGCACGGGATGCCCAGCGCAAGGCATCTGCCTGGCTCAGCAACCGTGCTAAGGAGTTACTACGAGACGCTTTGTGCTGCACCAGCAGCAGGGCTTTCATGGTCTCCAGGAGGCAGGAGCATCCCGATGCTGCTGGCATTAAGCCGCCAGCCTCCAGCAGCTTTGCAGGGATAAGACAACCTCGGCAGGACCTCTTGGGCAGGCAGCGTGCCTGGCAGCAGCCACCCCATAGGGGTTGCAAGGCGCTTCCCAGCCTGGGCTGCCTGCCCCCAGGAGTTGTGTCCCCTCTCCCAGGCACCGGACACGTGGCTGTTGCTTTCCAGTTCACTCTTCCTTACAGCGGGGCTGCCTGGGTGCATGGGAAGGGCCGTCAAACACAAGGGAACACGCTGGCAGAAATAAAGCCACATTGGCACCCAGAGCGGAGCAGTACCATATATTCACTGTAAAGAACATGCCCAGAACACAAGCTGAAAGGCAGCACAGAAAACAACTAACACAGCAAACTTTTCACCCAACAAAGCCCTGCTTCTCCAACCAGACATTGTTGTACCAGCCCTCTTTAACACAACACGTATGCTGTTAGAAAAGGATTAGGAAAAGGTGTAAGAGGAAGCATGTGCCATCAAATTTAACAAGAGTAAACAAACTTCTGAAGTTGTTTCTCCTCCTGCAGTGCTAGTCCAAAAAGACACCATCTCATGGCTAAAATCTGGGTTTCTCTATTCTTGAGAAGCCTCTCACGGAGCAGACCCACATGTGGGTGATGCTCCAGGGGCAGGTTTTCATCTGCTGGATCAAGTCTCTGCTGCCTGGGGTGAAGTCAGGGTTGCAGCACTGGGCTAGCACCCCCTGGCACCCCAGAACTGCCCTACATGTCAGCACCCCCATAATCTGCAACAGGGTACACCCTGTTGGGGTTCACTGAAGCGTTAGAAAATGTTGCAGTACCGCACTCTGACAAAAGACGTACCAATGTTACTCTGATCAAGGAGTATCTCAGCACTTTTTCTGCCTCAAACTGTTGGCAACCTCTGGTTTTGCAGAACAGAAAGGATAGAGAATTTCCTCCTTCAGAAGGCTTTTACACACTTTGAATAAAACAAAACATCCTGCTGCACAGTTACTCCAGTGGAAACAGCAGATTTCACACCCAGTGCATTCCCAAGGGACACTCCTCTCTGCCAAAGAGCAAAAGCTGCACGAGATGAACACCCAGCTACTCAGGTCTAACCATTCTTACACTGTTAGCAGAGAACTAGATCAAATGCAGGGACATATGGTCCTCCTAAGCTGCTTATACATATGCACTGTGGACAAAACACTCAGCTTCAGTGTTTAGAAAATGATTAGAGTAAAAAATTAAAAATATAAAAATAAACCTCCCTAAACCACAAGAAGCTATTAATATTTTAGCACTTTCACAAAACATTAGACACATTTACGTCCATTTTTAGACGACATATAAAGCATTTTCACTGGGTATTTTTTAAATGCATGATTAAAACAAATATCTCAGCAGAAAACCTTTGAAGCTATCTCCATACCCAAGTGCTGGTGCTGTCTGCAGAGAGCAGCTCCTCACTGGGGCATGAGAGCACTTGCTTTTCCCATGGTTGACAGTGCCTTCGGCATCTGGCTACTCGAGGTTGGCCAAATACTCACTGCCTCTGACAGTGTACTATTTTAATAGCTAGTTTCTGTGCATATAGCCCCTTGAGAAGAACGTGGTCTTCCAGAGAAATCTAAGGAGGGATTTTTTTGGGGTGGTTGGGTTTTTTTTGCTACTTTTGCAGTAGGAAGTGGGCATTCTAATTTTGGGGCTTCATTTCCTTTTTGGTCTCTGCATTTCCCAAGGGAAGTAAAAGGGCTTTCTAAAAAAGAAACAGCCTCTTCTTTTTATGTCCTTTGCACCACTCCCACCCAGACTCTGTTTTTCCACACCAGGCAGTAAATTCACAGAGAGCAACCCACGACGGCTGCAAGGAAGAAAGGTCACCTTGCCTGCACATCAGCCCTGGGCTGCAGGGCCTCAGAGACCAGGGGGCTGCCACGAGACGTCCCCGGCCACAAGACATCCGCAGCCACAACTGCTCTCGACTGGTCCTCTGCCCTGCTTAGAGCCAGGGCATCTTCAGGCATCTGTTTGGGTTACATTACCCTCAAGAACAAGCACACAGGGTGTAAAATGTAACTATTTTATCACCTTAATGGCCACAATGCCCCAGTCAAACCTATTATTTGGCATTTGAGAATGCACTAACGTTGCAGAGTTAAGCTGTCTCTAATTTAAACATGATGACCATATCAATTTAATTAATATGAATGGTAGACTTTCTTTAGAACAAGCAGAGCAGCAGAACCCCTCATACATGGGGGTTTTCAATTGCTATCACCTACTGCCATATGTTCACGTCTATCCCACAGGCACTGCAATCAAACAGCATGTTGGAGATGAGACCATCTTCCAGTCCCTTCATCGTGCACGGGGATTAAAGAGAACTGGAACAAACCATAGGGTTTACAAGAAATATGCTCCAAAAGTCTAGGAAAGACAGAGATGACCATTATCATCCTGATAAGTCATCACTGTGAGTTGCTGAACAGCTACGAACCCATCTGCTGCAGCCCTGCCCTGCAGCTCCGGGGCAACCCACCAGCCCTACTTGCTGCCCCTGCTCAGCCCCCTGCCCCACACTCTGCCTGTTGCCCCCCATCACACCTCCCTGTCCCAGAGGAGTCCTGTGGGACTGCTGCAGTGCCCATGCTGCAGGGCTGCACCCACACCTCCCACAGGCTACTTTGCCCACGTTTCATGCCTCATGCCCCTGTGCTGATGGGAAGGGACAACCTTCACTGCATCGACTGCCAGAGCAGGGACCAAGTCTGAAAACAGAGCACCAAACCAAGACCCCTGCAAGCTGGGCACAGCATCCCTGGTGCTGAACACAATATGTTTTTCCAGCAGTGGCACTAAGCAAATCCATTGCTGCAGCAGGACCAGGCTCTTGGATGGGGCTGAGGAGGGTGTGCACTGAGTGGCTGGTCACCACTGCCAGACCCAGCACCACAGGATGAGGGTGCTCGGGGTCTACAGGTCAGGCACCCTCTTGGGGAGGTCCAGTGGCAGAGCCCTGCTGCTCCCAGCAAGCCAGACCCCAGCAGGAGGAGAGGGACCTCAGCACCCTCCTCCTGCTCCTCCTGGCCCCACAGTGGGACCTACTGAGCGGCATCCGTGGGCCCCAACATGGCTCTGGGGTGGCAGTTACCGCGAGGCTGGCTGGTGTACGGAGTGAATAGTTTATTTTACACAACATAACAACACAGCGTTGTTGTTCCTATACAGCATCTGCCTAAAAACAAAGGCAACACCATTGTCACGGAAAAGAAATATACAGTCTGACCGTTTTAAAAAATATCATTTTACTGATCGATCCAGAAGTGGTTATTTGTTAGCGTGGAGGAAATTTCATTTCCTTTATAAAAGGCTTTTTCTGTGAAAACTCTCTCTTTTGTTTTCTGCTACTGCAGAACCAGGAAGCCAGTCCTAGAGTAGGGAAGGCACTGGTGCTGTTTCATGCTTTTTTTTTCACCCCTTAATCTTTTTTTCCTTTTTTTTTTTTTTAATATTTTTTACCTCTGAATGTTGCCTTCGGTTTTGATATTAAATAAAACCAAATGAAAACTAAATAAAACCCTGTGTGCACTGGGTGGCTTATACAGA